TTAACATGTTGTAAATTTGGAGTAACTGAGCATTAAGATTATGGGCTTTTATTCTGTCTTTGCTGTTGTCTTCTCCAGTCAGAAGAGCCTCATCAGACCTGGAGCTTTCATAGGAACGGCTTTGTCTTACCCCAGGCCAGCTGGCTGGGCTGTGTTGGAGCCAACAAGGCAGGGAGGCTCATATGAGCACGTGCCCCAGCACATCAGGCAGGACTGGTCCTGCAGCCACGGTCCTGGGGCAGCTGATGGTGCTGGTCTCCTCCATGGGAGCACCAGTCCGTCCCTCAGTGGCTGTCCCAAACTCCACAAGCCCCCGGCAAAGTGGTCCCAGGGCAGCCTTGCTCCTGGGCTGCTTCTGCAATGAGGAAAAGTTGCTTTCATGTTCTAAATTCGTTACATTAAAACCACTCTGTCCCCATTTCACAGCAGTAGTTTGAATAAAGCACCCTGCCTCAGTCAGCTCACCAGCAGCAGAAAGATACAGGGGCTTTGGAGTCGCAGCTCCCAAGGGCATCCCCAGCTCAGAAACATTGCCAGTGATGCAGGATCCCAGATGTCTCGACAGTATTTTCCGTGTTTCTATACGTATCAAATTTTGAGCTCATAATAGAGCAAAAGCTGCTATTTACATTCTTCCAAATGCCAGTACTTTCGGTCCTTGTTATTCAGAATAGCTTTTGCTCTAGTGGCTTTCAGGCTTGGTTTATCTAGCCAGTGCGGTGGAAATACTCACCTTGCTTGGACTAGTTCAAACACTGAAACAAACCCATCTGGTGGGAACTCAGGAGTGGGATCTCTGCTCCCCCTGTAACCCAGACAGGCTCAGGAGGAAGGCTGGCATTCCCCACAGGCTCCCCCACGGGATGAACACTTCAGAAATGTCTTTCTCTTAATTAAAAACTTTGAAGGCCAAGGTCCCAGGTTTCAGTGGATGCTTGTGGGGGTTTCAAAGCCCCCAGTGGGTACCCAGAGCTGTATGAGCTCTTTGGAAATCCAGCTTGGTGGTTCAGCGAATTGGGCTGCTTTCCCCACATTTGGGGAGTGAAGAGTTGCAGGCCCCCTGGTAAAACAACCCAATTTCCTAACTTTAGTCAATATTTTCTGTTTAATGAGTTTCTTTCAAATGCAAGGTACATTTTGATATGCTTTTTATTTACTCTGAATATTCAGGTAGTTTTATTTAATGACTGAAAGCCATTTAAAATGCTTTTTCCAGCCCATATTGCATGAAACTCCATGTTCCTTCAAGAATCAAATGCACTTTGTAGACATGTGGGATGCCTGTGGGAACATAAAATAACAATCTGACAAAATAAACAGTAAGTTAAATAAGTTTTTAAGTAAAAAAGGTATGGTGTGTTATACTGATCAGCAAAAAGGGGTGTCATTCAACACCCAGGCTATATTTGGCTGCAGATCAACATATGTTGATACTTTTCAGCTGAATAAGAATAAACTGGATTTTAGGAAAACAATTTTGAAAAGGCAGGAGAGTTGCTTGGGTGGCATGTCGTGTCTTTTTGCCGAATTTCAAGCCATGATGCTCAGGAGCTGTTTTGACCTTGCTTTGGGCCGTGCAGCTCTTGAACGAGGCTGCCTGCTGAAGCTTAAGCTGCTGGGGGGCTTTTGTGTGAGGTTTGCCAGCAGAGGAGGAATAAGATCGGCTGATTCTGAGGCTCTGTCATAAATACCGAGCTGCTGCTTGCTCAGAATAGCTGCAAAGCAAACACAAGTGTATCTTCAAGATGTCTCCAGTGTGGTCTCCTGGAGGTAGGGGTGTGTTGGCTAGGGTGCTCCAGTGTGCACCAGGTATGTCTGACCCTGCAGAGATGCTGCATTACACCGGTCCCCCACTGCATAGAGGCTTTGAGAGCTGCTCCAGCTCAGCCGGGCTGGGTACAGCCCTTCGGTTCAGTTCTCTGTGGTCTGTAACTCTCTTAAGTGTGAGCTCAGGCCATGCAGGTGGCCCTGAAAGTCCCAGAGCGATCGCTCATAGGCAGCTTCTTCATCATGTCAGTCTCTCTGTATCTTCTTTCTGATCCTTTCTGAATGTCCTCTTTTCCTATCCCTTTTCCATTGCCTCCTCTCCTTTCGCCTTCCACCATTTCTCCCTATTCCTGTTGCTCTGTGCTCCCCGGATTGGGCTGCATGAGCAGTCCATGGAGTGAGGTTGAGATAAGACAACCTTCTTCCCCCTGCACCAGGACCATCGGCTAGTCCCAGCTTGTGGGTGCCTGTTGCATACAAGAGTGATGCTGAGTGCCCAGGAAGGGTGTGTTAGATGTGGCCCATCAGTCATGTGCTGTTGCTTCTGCTGCATGGTTGAAGAAGCGCACCAGTGTTTCTTGCCTGACACAGTATTGGATTTGGCTTTGCTTGAAACTCATGCACCAGATTTGTCTTCTCTGGAAAGGGAGGCTTTCAGCCCTGTGGAGAAGGACTGGTGGGTGGAAAATCAGACATGAACCAGCAACGTGGGCTTGCAGCCCAGAAAGCCAAGTGTCTCCTGGGCTGCATCACCAGCAGCGTGGCCAGCAGGTCAAGGGAGGGGATGCTCCCCCTCTGCTCCACTCTCCTCAGACCCCCCCAGAGCACTGCAACCAGCTCTGGGGTCCCCAGCACAAGATACACTTGGACCCTGCTAGAGTGGGTCCAGAGGAGGTCACCAAAATGGTCTGAGGGCTGGGACACCTCTGCTATGCAGAAAGGCTGAGAGAGTTGGGGCTGTGCAGGCTGGAGAAGAGACGGCTCTGGAGAGACCTTACTGCGGCTGCTCAGTACTTAAAGGGGGCTTACAGGAAAGAGGGAGAGAGACTTTTGACCAGGGCCTGCGCTGACAGGACAAGGGGCAACGGTTTTAAACTGAACGAGGGTGGGGTTAGCTTGGACATAGGGAAGAAATGTTGTACGATGAGGGTGGTGAGACACTGGCAGAGGTTGTCCTGAGAAGCTGTGGCTGCCCCATCCCTGGAAGCGTTCAAGGCCAGGTTGGATGGGGCTTTGAGCAACCTGATCTAGCGGGAGATGTCCCTGCCCCTGGCAGGGGGGTTGGGCTGGATCGCCTTTGAATGTCCCTTCCAACCCAAACTATCCTGTGAGTCCATGATATTCTGTCACGAGAGTCCCCCCAACGTGCTGAGAAGCTGCTGTTTTGGAGCAAGAGAACAATCTGACCCCTCTCCGTAGCCCCCGTGAGCCCAGTGCAGCCTGCTCATAGCTGCAGGTGAGGGCTGAGCTCTTCTGTCTGTACGCTCACAGGTCTAAGGAGCTGCATAATGCCAATGTCCCCTTGGGTTGATCACCCTCCCCAGCTCCAGGAAAGGTCCACAGCCCGTTTCCAACCACCGTTACATGTTTTAGGGTGACAGAACTTCAGTCCCAGCAAGGGCGACCCACAACAGCCCCTTGCCAGCCCTTCACACCTAGTTCATCAGAGAGGATGGGAGCGTGTGGTGGGGAACAGCTGCTGCCAACAGCCATGGTGGGCGAGAAGCTTGGAGTGGTGCAAAGGCAGCCAGCACCAGCAGAGCTGCTGCTCCAGCCCCACTCAGTGGGCACAGCCAAGTCCCATGTCCCACTGCTGGCAGTTCTTCACGTTGTGCAAGTGCCATCGGCCAGAGTGAACCTCTCAGCTGCAGGGTGGGTTTTTCTGTGCCTTTATATACAACCCAACCATTCCCAGGAACAAGACGAAGGAAATGCATCCCTTTTTTTTTATTGCAAGTAAAACTACCTCCAAACAAAGCCTTCCACAACCCTGAAAAGCAGTGCAAAGGCTTTTATGATCTGGCAACTTGATCTAGTGGAAGATGTCCCTGCCCAAGGCAGGGGGGGGAGTTGGACTGGATGATCTTTGAAGGTCCGTTCCAACCCAGACCGTTCTGTGAGTCCATGTTCCTGTGAAACTCGATTTCTAGCACATTGGGGGAAGGGCTCATTCAAGAGATACAAGCGTTTGGATGGAGGATGCACATGATGCTCTGTCCTGAGCTTCCTGGAACATCTTCAGGGCTGTTTGCTGTGCTCAGCCTGGCAGCTGGATCAGACAGCAAGTCAGGCCCCAGGGTGGGTGCTCACATGGGGATGAGCTTCCCCCATGGGGGCAGCAGCCAGCACCAAGAGGGTCAGTGTGTTCAGCTGGACCCTGCTCAGGTGTAATTCCAAGGTTTTCTGGCACTTTTCCTGGAGAATGGAAAGCAGCCTAGTAAGATGAGGGTGCTGTGCGTGCAGGGGGCTGACAGCTCTGCCACACCATCTGCCCTGGGCTGGCAGCGATGCAGGCAGCTGCTCGGTTTGGAGCAGGCCTTCGTCACCAGCATCCTCATGGGGCTGGTGCTCAGGGGAGCCCTCCAGTGTGGGGAAGAAAAGTGGGACCTTGCTTCTGGAGCAGGGACAATTAACCCGGACATCTCCCATTCCCCTGACCCAGCCTGTGTGCCCTGGCCCCTTGAGTCTCCCTGCCAGCTATGCCATGGTGCTGCCAGCCAGGGTGGAGGTTTGATGACTGAGGGCATAGGGTCCCCCCAGGGCCTTCCTGCCCAGCTCCAGCCCTGCAAAGTGACCACTGTGGGTCCATCCTGCGCCTGTGCAGGTCTGGCACATCCCGGCAGCATGGCAGAGGCAGGCAGGGCTCGACACTGGGCGCCGTTGTGGCCTTGGCTCCAGGCTGCTTTGGCACAACCTGTCGTGTGGTGCAAGGAGGGTGCTGCCAGCCATGACCACCTGGGGTGTCCTCTGGGGGCTGAAGGCTATGTTTGGCTTGGACTTGGGTGAGGGGTGCGTCCAGTTCACCCCCAGCCAGGGCCATGTCACCTTGCTGCCACCTGCCCCCCTTGTGCTTTGTCGCACTCCTCAGAGCAGCTTTTGGGCCAGAAATGCTTTTTGGGCTGGTAGAGGTGTGGGGAGTGCTCGGGGCTGAGCCTTCCCCTGGCTCAGGGGTGGCAGGTCTCTCCCTCCCACAGCACCCTCACCCCCACTCTCTCTTCCTCTCCCCTCTGCAGCACTCGACGCTGTCGCGCAAGTTCGTGGAGGTGATGTCCGAGTACAACACCACGCAGACAGACTACCGGGAGCGCTGCAAGGGCAGGATTCAGAGGCAGCTGGAGATCAGTGAGTAAACCCGGAGGGGGAGGGCAGCCGGGCTGTGTGTACCGTGGGGCCACATCCTGCACTGGCTCTCGCCGGGTCAGAGCTGCTCCCGCAGCTGTGCAGAGCTCCCCTGTGAAAACCTGGGGGTGCACAGGGCTGTGCATGCACCTGTGGGAGCAACTGGGACACGGGTCCTGCTGGGAGATAGGCACGTGGTGGTACCTTGCATTTTGGTGCCAAACTGCATCCAGCAAAGTGCCAAAAGTCATCTCAGATTTTCTTAAGTGCTGCATAGAGAGTGCAGAGAGCACAGGGAGAGAAATTTCTTCCTTGTTTGCAGCTAATTTCGAATTCAAAGAAGCTAGCAGGAATTCCTGACTCCCATGTGTTGCCTTGCCTTTCCTCTTGGTGCTTTTCATCGTGGGTGAACTGAACTAAATATAAAACCAGAGAAGTGAGCTCTTGAGATGGGGGCACTCGCTGCTCCAGCAGTTTCCCTTGTTGCAGGAGGAGCACAAGCGTCGGTGCCTGCCCCAGGCAGCCGCTTGGTTTGGGGTGGGCTGTCATCCCCTGTGTCCTCATGGGGCTGGTGCTCAGGGGAGCCCTCCAGCATGGGGAGGAAAAGTGGGACCTTGCTTCTGGAGTGGGGACAATTACCCCAGCATCTCCCTGGACCCAGGACCATGATGGCTTTTAGCAGCAGTAGTGGTGTCTTCTGGCCAAAAGTGGTCCCCAGGTAACACCTCTGAGGCTGTCACCATCGTGGCACTAAGATCTCGCTGCATCATTCAGAGCCCATTGCTCTAAGAGAAGTCCAGTCCTTCCTGTCCACAAAACCTGCTCTCCTGGTGGTTCTTCTGGGCAATCGGTGATACCTGGTTAGTTTTAGAGAAATGTGGTCATCTCCCAGCAAAGAAGAATCATACCACCACTGTAACTAGGGGAATAAGCAAACAAGGGAGAAGTCAGGAAGTCAGGGCATGCAGAGCTTAAAAGAGATTTTTGCAAATAATCTCATTGTCAGAGAGGTGTTGGTTTTCTGTGCTCAAAATGAAAGTCTGAAGCCTAGTCCAAGTTCTTTTTTTCTCACAAACAAATGGGTGTCTTTATCCCCTTTCACAACTCAGCAGGAATAATACGGTAGGAGAAATTTGAGTCAGAATGGTGTCCTTGAAGGTCACCTATGGGAATGTCCTTCATGAACTGCAGATGCCTGGGAATCTGGGTGCCAGTGGAGTATGGTAGTTTCTGTGGAGGGCCAGAAGGAGACTCAGCTGTGCAAGCCTTCCCTCTGTTAAGATCAGTCTTTATAATGTATAATAATAATAGAAATGTTTCACACTGGCTGAATGGAAAGGTTGACTGACAGGAGGCTCAACAAGAGCTTGACGTTTAATGTAAAGCAGGATGGTGAGTGTGTCACTGCTCCAGCTGACTCATTCGTCAGCTGATGTTGTTCTGTAAGTGATACCCAGCCATAGGGGTGGCTTGTAATGTAAATTGGAATTTAAGGTATCCCTATGCCTTCCTTCTAAGACAGGAGAAGATTTGAAAGGACTTAGCCAGGTCCTTAATTGTCTGCAGACTTGAAAGAAACCTTAATCTTGTTTTTCTACTACCAGATTTTGGAAAGACGCTGCCGTTTTGCTTAAATTATGCAGATGTGTTAAAATATACTTGTCTTCACTCTGTCCATCCTGCCGGGCTGTCACTGCCTGACAGAGCATTGACAGGGCACAAGGAAAAGGCTGCTCAGGACTCACCATGGTGCAGTGGCTGGGTGCAGAGGGAGTGTCCTAGTTAGTGATGGTGAGGAACCCGCTTTCCCTTCAGGGTGGAGGTGTGGAGCAGATGCAGATGCAGGATGGGGTCTGTGCTGGGAAGGTACACAATCCTGTGCACAGTCCTTTGCAAAAGCTGTCTCTGTCAAGACAGTGGAAAATCTCTTCTGGCAAAAAGTCTCATCAAAAGTAACAAGCTTATTGAAGTTTTATCAGGAGTGCTTCCAGGGCAGAGAGCTCTGCTTGTCCTGCAGTGTTCCAGCCAGCATCTTCAGTCCCTGCTGCTCTGGGGGCTCTTGAACAGGCTTTTCTGAATGGAGCTCAGCTGGGATGTGGCGACTGCACAAAGCTCTACAAAATCCTCAGCTCTCGTTTTCAGCTGATCAATCCAAAGATAGAAAGTGCCGGGAGCTCTGACAGCAAAGCCAGTAAATCACTCGGGTTTTGAAAGTATGAGAGCAGGGACTTCTCAGCTGCTCTGAGGAGGCTCCCCAGCACCTGGTGAGCTTCTCCCTTCTAACTGCATCTGCTTCTTGCTCTGGAAGTAGGACAGTTGCAGAAGAAACGGTGATGTAGAGTCACTGCCCCAGGCCACAGTCACCCTCTGGGGCTCTCCACAGCCCTCTCAGGATCTGCCCCTTCTCTTTGTGCAGGCACCACCATGTCTGTGTGTGCCAGAGGTTGTGCCTCAGTGACCCTCGCCATCATTCCTGCCCATCCAGCACATGCTGAGCCTGGGAGCCTGTCTGATGTGATGAAGTGCATGTCCTGTCCTTTCCCACTGCTTCTGCCCCAGCCTTAATTGTTGCCCTCACCACCCCCTTACTCACTCACTCTGCTCCCAGACATGCCGAGATCGCAGATGCTGTGGAGGGATTGCAGGATCCTGTGTCCTGGGGTTGGTGACAGATACTGGGTGGCTGTCCTCTGGCTGGACCATGCCCCCACCAGCAGTGTCCCTGCGTCTGCTGCTGGGAGCTGCGCTCCCCAGGCACGAGCCTCCCCGTGCCTGTGGTGGGAGGTGTCAGTCCTTCGTTTTTTTCCTCTCCATTTTGTCTGTTATGAGAAATGACATCTTCAATCTAATTAGGTTTTGCTCCCAGAGAAATTGGATTTGAAGCTTGGACGAGCTTTCTGTGGTGAGTGTGCAGCTTTGAAGCCATGGAGGTGCTGCACAGACGCTGCTTGTTTTTATGAACAGTTTTGTCATGTGCGAGACCAAGGAGCCAAAAATAAAGCATCTGCCATCTCCAAAGGCTCTGCGAGAATTAATCAGCCCCTGCCCCACTGTGCGACACCAGGTTAATTGATGTGCAGAAGGGCAAGTTGTGGGTGCATCCCAAGCTGTTCTTGAGCCAGGAGAGTCTGGAGGCTCAGATCTGTGTTCAAGACAGCTTGTCTCCAGCCCTGTCTCCTGGGACTTTGGATCTTTGTTGTAGTCATGTCATAGGATCGTGGACTTGCGGAGTGGTTTGGTTGAAAGGGACCTTCAGAGATGATCCAGTCCAGCCCCCCTGCCATGGGCAGGGACATCTCCCCACTAGATCAGGTTGTTCAAAGCCCCATCCAACCTGACCTGAAACACTTCCAGGGATGGGGCAGCCACAGCTTCTCTGGGTGACCTGTTCCAGTGTCCCCAGTCCTTTTCTGGCCATGTTTCCTGGAAGGACCCTGGCCCTGCATTGTAGCTTTGTCTCCAGCCCCATCTCCTATAGCTCCTGATGGGGCTCTTTAGAGCTACGCCAGAGCTGATTTCACAACTTGTGTTGTCTGGCCCTGCTGCTGGACACCATTCTCAGCACCCTGCTCACGTGCTGTGGGATGGGTGCCAGCTTGGTGAGGGCCCTGCATGTGCTAGGACCACACTGGCTCCTAGCTCAGCCCTCCCAGAGCATCCTCACTCCTGCTCTGCAAGGGATGGCTTCTGCTGTGAGGCAGGCGTCCCTGTCATCTGCCTCCTGCTGCTTCTCTTCGGGGCTGCAGACCAAGCATGGAGGAGCAGGTTGCGGCTCCTCTCCTGTGGTTCTTGATGCTAGCATCTCACACGTGGATCATCTCTCTGCTGTGTTGGGCAAGTCCCTTTTCTTCCTTCTTATAAGCTTTATTATACTTTTAAAATATGTTCTTAAGGTCTGTTCTGTTCATTATTTGGTCTCCTTACAGTACACAGCTGGATTTAAAGATGTACTCCATTTGCAGAGGAGAAGCAATGAGCTGTGGGTTGGGCTCCCCGCTGAGCCACTAGGCTGAGTCCCTCCCTCCAGCCCCCAGTACCATGGGAGGGAAGCAGGCTCCATTTGAGGCTCCTCGTGTCTGTCGAAGGCAACTTGCTTGTCCCCCAAGAGTTACAGCAGTAGAAGCTGCTGCTGGGAGAGCCCAAGGCCAGGACACTTGATGGCACCGCCCTGGTGCTTTCCCCACACTGTCTGGGCCACCATTCTCTACGTTTCTTTGCTCTCCCTGTTGAGTTTGTGGTCCAGTTTCCACACAGCACCACAGCTTGCCGTGACCTGGACTGGTGGCCCAGGAGCTGTCCTATTACTTTGAAAGCTCAGTGTCAAGGCAGAGCAGGACTGAACTCATCCCATTTTGCTCTCTTCCCATGTATCCTGGGCTGCCTGTCCCAAGCTCCTGCCAGACAGCCCTGGGTGTGCTAGAACAGCGCTGGCTCCTGTAGGGTCTGTCCCTGGATCCCAGCTGGGCCATGCAGTATCACTGAGGCATTTCTATCAGTTATTAAAATAAAAATCCCATTAGCTTTTTAGATTATGAGATATTAGTCATATAAATAATAGAGGAATTCCTTCCTGGCTGTGGACAGTTAAATTGCAGAGAAAGTATTTCATTTCAAGAAAACCAATAAAATAAAAATTTTATTTTAAGGAATTTCCATTTTTCCCTCCTGGCCACTGTTTTTTCTCTTGTTCTTTTCTTATTTTCTATTTCTCTTCCAACTGTAATTTTTTTGGACACCCCAGCAATTGTCTCCTTCTTTTGTGCCACCTGTCCATCACAGTTCCATGTTGCTTTTAGAAACCCCATGAGCTCCAGTCTGTAGCTCTCAGCTCCTGCTCTCTCCTGCAATGTCCCATCTGTGCTGGTTGCTGTGGATGACCTGTTGCAGGTGCTGGGGGAGCTGCTGCACTGGATCCAGCCCTGCCCAATGGAGCTGGGATGACACAGACTTCAGATGTCACCTCTCAGGTGCCAGACCCCTTCAGAACCCTGTATGTAGGGTCTGTCCCCTGTGCTCGGGGCACTGTCACAGCCCTCTAGCTAGTCCTGCTCCTTGGAGACCTTCGGAAGAGCTGCTCCCGTCCTTTCAGCCCACTCCTTGCTTCCTTGCCTATGTTCCCTGGAGGAGAAACAAATCTGATGCAGGCAGCAAGGAACCATCCACACTCACTGCCGGGCAAGGAAGTGCAGGCACAAGACAGATGAGGGGAACAATCCCAGCTGCCTCCTACAAGTCTTGGAGTGTGCTCTCCGGCCTCCCAGAGCTCCAGGTCCCTGGTGGTGTTTGCAAGGGACCCCAGCAGGTTTCTGCACCCTGCCACCCTTCCTGGTCTTGGTGCTCTGTTTATCACATGGCCCAGAAAGCATCCAGAAAGCTTTGTTACATGCTTTTGATGAAGAGGCTGCACATTCCTGGCCCAGCCATGGATGTAAACCCTGTTGGTCTGTGGGAAATCAGAGCTAATGAGCATTACCAGATAATGAAGTCCTTGTACTGGAGTCTTCTGCGTGTGTGTGGTTGGATTTACTACCTCTCCCTTCCTGCAGCCTCCTGGTGCCAGGAGACAGCAAACAACCTCCATGTGGCACTGGTAACACTGCTGAGAGCCTGCAGGCTCTCATGTGTTCTTGGCTGCTATCACCACCAGTATCTGCTGATATGGGATTGTTTTCCTGAGGCAAAGCCAGAAAAACGCTTTCCTGTCATGAACACTCAGAGCGCCCATGCATGTGGGGCCCCAGCAAGGAGCAGAGCACAGGAGATCCGGGTGCTCTTCTCGTTTCTGCATCTCAGGGCAAGAGAATCATGGACTCACAGAGTGGTTTGTGTTGGAAGAGACCTTCAAAGATGATCCATTCCAACCCTCCTGCCATGGGCAGGGACATCTCCCACTAGGTCAGGTTGCTCAAAGCTCCATCCAACCTGACCTCAAACACTTCCAGGGATGGGGCAGCCACACCTTTAATGGGCAGCCTCTGCCAGTGTCTCACCACCCTCATCGTACAACATTTCTTCCCTAAGTCCAACCTAACCCCACCTTCATTCAGTTTAAAACCATTGTCTTGTGCTGGGGACCCCAGAGCTGGCTGCAGTGCTGAGGGGGTCTGAGGAGAGCGGAGCAGAGGGGGAGCATCCCCTCCCTCGACCTGCTGGCCATGCTGCTGGTGATGCAGCCCAGGAGACGTGGCTTTCTGGGCTGCAAGTGCATATTGCCAGGTCATGTCCCATTTGTCACCCACCAGAATCTCTCAGTCCTTCTGTCCTTCTTCACAGGGCTGCTCTCCCTCCCTCCCCCAGTCTGTACTAGTCCTGGGGGTTGCCCCGACCCAGGTGCAGGACCTCACAAGTAAAGAGATGCGTCATGAAGCATGGAGGTGTCCTTGTTGGAGGAACTCCCCAGGCAGGGTGGCAGCATGCACCATGCCTGTGGGGTGGTGGCCAGACATGGCTGGGTGGCCAGGGTCCCCTGCAGTGCTCCCTGGGGCACTGACACACTTGTGGTGAAGATCTGGACTGGGTTCAAGGTTTTGGGCACCTCCCTGGTCTGAGCCTGGTGTGGCACTGCTGGAAGCAGGGAGCACTGTCCTATGGTCTGTCCCCGTGCTCTGCCATGTCTCCTCCATGCCCCTGTTCAGAGGTGCCCTGGACTCGTCCTGGAGGATGTTATTGTCCCTTTGTGGGAGGAGGGGCAGACGAGCTGTCCTGGGGGAGCTGGGCCAAGCTGGCAGCTTGACCCCCTCAAAAAGAGGGGTTGCAGGGCTGGCACAGAGCCGGGCTGTGGGATGGCAGCCCCTCGAACTGCCTGGTGCACTCTCAGGGCTGGAAGCTTTGCTCCACTCCACTCTCAGGAGATGCCATGGAGACAGCAGAGCCCTGTGGTAGGGCTGCAGGACCCATGGCTGGAATAGGGGGCTCATGGCTGACCCATATTGTGTCACTTGCAGCTGGCAGGACCACCACCAGCGAGGAACTGGAGGACATGCTGGAGAGCGGCAACCCAGCCATCTTCTCCTCCGGGGTAAGCACTGGCACGGGCTAAAGCTGAGCCAGCCCCCCTCATCCTGGGTGGGTTGGCTGGTGGATGTGCTGCCACAGTGGCCCCAGTACAGGAGGGATGAGCACAGCCCATGCAGGAGGTGGGACCTGCGTGCTCAGGTCTGGCCGGAGGATGCTGCCTGAGCAGGGGCTGCATCCTCGCCAGAGGGTGGGGTGCGGGTTTGCTCCAGCCTGGCTGGAGGGGCTCTGGGGCTCCTGCCTTCCCTCTTTTGGTGCCCCTAATCCCAGCATCTGAGGAGCTGAGCACGGTGCTCAGTGGCCCTGTCTTCTTGCAGATCATTATGGATTCAAACATCACCAAGCAGGCACTGAATGAGATTGAGACACGGCACAGCGAGATCATCAAATTGGAGAACAGCATCCGAGAGCTGCATGACATGTTCATGGACATGGCCATGCTGGTGGAGAGCCAGGTAGGGAGATGCTGCAGCCCAGTGGCTGGCTCACCTGGGGAGGTTGGAGGGTGATGGGGCTGCGAGCAGTGCCCTGCCTGGGTGGGTGCTGAGGGGAAGAACTGCATCTGGGACCAATGCAGCTCCCACTGGGGCTAAGCTGGGCTCCCTGGGGCCAGAGCCACCCACCCTGCACCCCAGAGCTGGGGGCTGCTGTGTGCCCGGGGCGGGAGGTTTGGTGATGGGCTCTGGAGGAGGGCAGTGGGTGGCTGCCACTCAGGTAGAGATTTCTCCATCTCCCTTGGAGCACTGGGCCCTGCCGGTGAGCTCAGGGTGCCACCAGCCTTGGTGGTCCTGCCAGGCCGCCTCTGGCTGTGCCACCAGCCCATGGCACCTGGTCCTTCAGCTGAGCACATGCTCTGGTGCCTCTGCTCACCCCCCTTCTTGCCCACCATGCTGCCACGGCCCGAGGAGACATCAGTGGCAGGTAAAGCCCGCCAAGCCCCTGCCGGTGCTGCATGCTCTGCTCTGCATGGCTGTGCCCTGCATGTCTGCGGCTCTCGTGTGGCTCTAGGGTCTGCCTGTGGCAGGCAGGCAAGGGTGGCTGTGGCACAGCAGTGTTGGTGCCCCGTCCCGTCTGCCTCGGAGGACAGACATGGGGGATTCGCAGTTCCCTGCCCCGCTCTAAGGGCTAGGCCATGCCAACACCCTGCATTGCCCTGTGGGTTGGGAGGCTCCAAGCTGCTGGCACCAGGAGCAGAGGGGTGCTGGGATGGCAGCGGTGCTGGCAGCTGCCTGCTCTGCCCCTGGCATGGCACAGGTGGGAAGGACAAGCAGCAGCTTCAGGCAAGGCCGGGAGCAAGCAGCAGGGAGCCTGGTGGGGGGGTCAGTGCTCGGGGAGGGGGTGACACCAGAGCACTCCTGGGCTTGCAAGGCTCGTCCTCCCCCTGCTCTCCAGCATGAGGCTGAGAAATGAGTATTGGAGAGCTGCTGGCTATGACCCCCCTGGCTCTGCAGCCCCAATTCCTTCTGTGCCATGCAAGAGGGTGCTGGGCTTCGAGCCACCCAGCCCTGCCAACCCTGTCAGTCACATGAACTGTCAGACTCTCTCTGCAGCTGCTGCACGACCTGGCTGCTTCCCTGTGCAGTCAGGATGGGGACAAAGGAGGTAGACAGGCTGGGGGGAGCTCACCCCAGTCCATGTCCCCATGTCTGCAGGAGTCCACATCCCCAGCCCATCCCTGCAGCCAGGGGGGCAGAGCAGGGCAGGAGGCACTGCAGGGCCCTGCAGTCCAGCCTCGCCAGCCTCATTCCAGGGCCCTCTGTTCTCGGCAGGGCACTTGTGTGGATCAGAGTGGTCACCTCTGCATGTGCGTGGTTTTGTGAGCATCCCACATGGCTCTGCTGGTGCGGCCCTTGCTCCCTTAGTTTCAGCAGTGTGTGGTCTGGTGTCAGTGTAGGTCCTGTTGCAGCCTTGATGTCACCTGAGATATTAGACAGGGTGGCCACCAGGCCAGGACTGGGCTGGGGAATCCCACTGCTTGCCTCCCTGCTGGGATGTGCACAGAGATCCCAGCCCTCTGGGATAGAGCCCTCAGTCTGGAGCTCCCACCCCAGGGTACCCTGGGGCACCCACTATCTGCAGATGACTGACGGTCCTTCTCTCTCCTGTGCAGGGCTGCTGGGCAGGGGGACATCCACATAGTGCCGGGGAGCAGCAGAGCAGGAAGAAGCTCACGTCTGTGTGCACGGGTGCGTGGGCTCTGTCTCCACTCTGCAGGGCGAGATGATTGACCGCATAGAGTACAATGTGGAGCACTCAGTGGACTACGTGGAGCGGGCTGTGTCTGACACCAAAAAAGCGGTGAAGTACCAGAGCAAAGCCAGACGGGTGAGTCACGGCACTGGCTGGGGCCCATCTTCCCCTGCCTACACTGCTGACACCTCCGTCCCGGGGGAATGCCTCTGCCTGGCACTCCTGCCTGCCCCACTGCCTGCACAGAGGAGCAGGTATCATGGCGCAGCCCTACACGTGCCTGGGCACTGCTTTACCCCACACCACTGGGTGCAGCACAGGTTCCGCTGGTGGCACCAGTTGGGGCAGAGCTCCCTGGCACAGGCTGTGTCAGCGCTGATGATGAGCTGTGTGGCAGGGGTGCTGCTTGGAGGGGAGGAAAAAGGACAGGGTGGATCCCATGGGCCAGGCCGGCTGTGAAAGCCATGTCCCTTGCAAAAAAAAAAAAAAAAAAAAACTAGAGAAAAGGCATGGTCCAGCTCTGACCCTGAGTGCAGTGCCAGCTGCCTGTCCCAGTCCCCACACCTGGTCCCATATCAGCTCAGAAGCTTGGGGACCCTGGGGCCACCAGCTCAGCTCTGCCAGCCCAGGGCTGAAGGGGGAGCTGGGTTGTCCATCCCTGCCCCAAGGCTGCTGGAGCCCCTCTGGCTCCCAAGGTGCTGCTCAGAGCCCACCAAGGGCAAACAGGAACAGGGCAGATTGCAGCCCCCAGCTCTCGGGGCCAGCCTGCCCCAACACTCACAGTCCCCTCTGCCCTCTCTCCCTGCCGGTGCTGGGACGCCTGAGCAGAAGAAGATCATGATCATAATCTGCTGCGTGATCCTGGGTATCGTCATTGCCTCCACCTTCGGCGGCATTTTCGGCTAGACTCACCCCACGGGACTGTTTGTGTGCAATGGACGGAGCCACGCGTGCCATGGGGCCGCAGCCACGCCAGAGCGAACCACGCAGCCCCGGAGCCTCCCAGCAGCATTTCAGTTTCTAATGCATGGTTGTTTGTGATGCTGTGTGTGCGGTGCGTCTGTGTGGAGGGAGCGCCGGCCCCGGGGCGCAGGCAGGGTGCAGGGGATGGTGATGGGTGCAAGGGGGACCCTGAGGGGCAACCCAGGCTCTCATCACTTCTCCAGCCTGGGTGGCTGGCTGGGACCAGGGCGGGACAGAGGTGCCCTTGGGCGCTGCTACTCCTCCTGTGCTGGGCAGTCTGTGTTAGTGACAGTCAAGGATGAGGAGGGACTGATGAAGGGTGTTAGGCGTCCTCAGGAGCACAATGCCCAGTCAACATCCCCCAGCTTCCCCATCACCTCCAGCCAGAGCTCTTATGTCTGTCAGCCACGCCTGTGCTTGCAAACACCTTTCCTTGGGCTGCTTCTCTCACAGGGCCCATCCTCAGGGGTGTGCTCTGTCTGCCGGGCCCTGCCTCCCCCGTCCCTGCCCATCTCGTGGCTGTGCCTGGCTGCAGGGCTCCATCCCTACTGCTCTGCCGATGGCGGGGCTGCCCCCTTTCTAGGCAAGCCCTCCCCCGATCTGGGTGCCAGGGGCTGGATGTGCTGCTGCTGGTGGTGGGTGCCTGATGGAACAGTGTGGGATGAGGAGCTGCTGCTTGGGGCCATCACAGTTGCTTGGGGATGGGGACAGGCCACATGGGGACCTGTGCTGCACCCTGGTGCTGGCCCTGGCACAGGTACTTTAAGGCCAGCACGTTTCACTGGCCACTTGCCCTGCACCAAAGCCTCATTGTTCTGTTCTCAGCCCCGGCACACGGTGGCCCTGGCTCCTGCTGCCCACAGGCCTGGGCTCTGGCTGTCAGGGTTTGGGGCTGACTCTGATGCCTGCAGACCCTGGCAGTGCTTGCCTGGGAGCAGGGCTGCTTCCAGCTTCACTCTTCCACGTAGGCACCCACAGCTGGGGGTTGGAGGCAGGTGGGCTTTCTCCTGTCATGGTCCCAGGAGCGGCCCTTGTTGCATCCACCACCCTGCAAGCTAGGAGTAACAGCCTTCCTCCTTCCCTATCCTACCAGCTCCTGAGCAGGGCAGTGCCTGACTGCCCCTTCCATCTCTTCACCACTTCTTGGCATCTGCCTGCCCCTGTCACCTCCTCCTGGCACAGTGCCCTTCTGCCTGCTCACCTCCTAGGCCATCCAGTGAGGCACCTGCACTCACTGGGCTGCTGTGGGAGCACCTGAGTGCCCTGTGCCCTCCGCTGTGCTCACTACATGGATGTAGCCACTGTGGGGTGGCCTGAGCCTGCTGGCAGCTCAGAGGGGCCCTGTGTTGCCACTGTCCATTTTCCTCGGGCTGGGGGCAGGGCTCTGCTCTCACATTCCTCTGGAGACTCCAGGGCTCCAGCTGGCCCATGCACATGCCAAAGCACCACAGAGAAGCCCAGAGCAGGGTAGGCACCTGGGGCCAAGCTCACGGCCACACAATGGGATAGGGGCTGGACATGAGCCCAGATGCTGGTAGCAGAAAAAGGGCACTTGATGACAGCGAGTACTCCAGCTGCGGGCAGCGTGTCACATCCCTGCTCCAGTCAGGATGAGGGCAGGGCTGCTCCAACCGCATGCTCCTCCACCCTGTCTGGGTGCTCTAGCACAGGCGCTGGCCCTGTGTGTGGTGCCCACAGGTATGGGGTGAAAGGCAGCAGGGTGTAGCCAAGACACAGTGCTGCCTTCCCCAGGTGCAGCCCTGCCCAGCAGCAACCCAGACACAGTTCTTTTCCTGCCACTGTTACCCAAGGTCTCAAAATACAACCCCTGGTAGCATTTAGCCACCCTTGGGAAGCGTGTCCAGCCTGGTCCCCTGCCCTGTCCAGCCCAAGCCCCCCACATGAGACCATCCAAGACCAGAGCCCCCTTTTTTCACTGTCCTGCAACAACTGATGTGAGCTACTACAATGCAGCCTGTGTGCGCAAAGGGCTTGGGGCACTGGGACCCCTGCAAGCTGGAGCAGGCTGGCTCTGGAACACCCTCCAGGGCAGGAGGCAGGCATGGGCAGGGTCCTTGCTGCAGGGATGCATCTGGCTACAGGAAAGGGAGCTGGAGGTGATGCATGAGTGCCTGCTGCTCCTGTCCCTGTGCAGTTCCCTGCCACCAGAGTCTGTGCTCTGCTCTGCTGAGCCAGCAAGCATGCGAGGCCCCCTCCTCCAGGAAGCAATAACACTGCTGGCAGGGCTGCTCCTGGGCAGGCAGGCAAAAAAGCTCCTCTCAGGCTCTCACCCTGCAGCGATGCCCACTGCTAGCACAAGGCGACTTTTTTTTTCTTCCAAGCAGCAGCTTTTGTGGCACAAGCTCACATGACATCAGGGCTGTGGCCCACCCCATCAAGGCATGAGGCCAAGAACAGCACTGGGGGGATTCTGGCACTTGCTCCTTCCTTGTTGGTACCACCACTGCCAGCAGCCCCCCAGCAGCAGGAGCTGGACAGGGCCACAGTAGGTGATTCTGCCACTGGCACTTTGCTGGGATCCTGCAGGCAGTGGTGGTGCCAGGCTCTTACGCGAGGGAAGGAGAGGAGCAGGCTGCCATTGCTGCCCCACAGGCAGGCTCACACTGTCCTCGCTGTGAGGGGAGGGTGTTTCGGTGCAATAATTACCCCTGCACTACGGGAAGCCCCGTTCAGTTCCTTTTTACCTACCTGTCGTTGCATGTACAGACCAAAACACCAACAGTGTGGTTGTGCTTTGGGAAGACATTTCACTTTTTCTTTCCAGCCCCCAACCTCAGACCGCTTGTCCTTTGGGTTACACCACCTCTGTTCCAAGTGCCACCTGCCCTCCCAGCGCCAGGAGTGTGTCGATGCAGTATTCCACGAGCAGTGTGGGGCACGCACAGCTTGCACTTGAACTGGGGATTGTTTTTTTTGTAATTAATGTACTTGAAGGCTTTCCGAGCCCCTCCCCTTCCCCCCCCTCCGTGGAGTTGTACTGTTGCTGTACTGTGAGCTAAGTGTCCTTGTTTTCTATGTGGATCTTGACCCTGGCTTGCTCTGTCTCACTGGGCTGGATGACACTGTATGTTGCCTCTTTTCTCCTTCACCCTTCCCTCCCTGCTAGCCTCCCTTTCTTCTCCCAAAGCTTTGGGTGCAAAACAGCTTCCCGTTTTGTGGAATTTTTATGTAGAATAAACATTTGTAACTGTAAAGCTCTGGCTGGCTCCTCTGTTTCAGGGGAAGGGAGGAGGGGATGGGGAGCATGGGCTGGGGTGCGGACAAGCCCAGCACCCTGGGAGCACTAAAGCGTACAGGGAGCGCCTGATGTGAAGCACCCACAGGAGCAATCAACACAGGAATAACACTTCTGCCAGGAGGAATATTTGCCCTCATGGGAGACACACCCCTATACTGCCGAAGTCCTGGTCGGTGGGCAGAGGGGAAGCTGGCAGGGAACTACGTGCTATATTCCCACCTCAGTACTCCCCTGCACAGGAGACCAGCAACACTTCTGACTCATTGGCTGTTTAGTGAGGAGGCTGAATTTAATGTTCTGGCTCACTGCACTCTCAGGAAGATAAGCAATGGTACTGCAGACACCAAGTGGCCAGAGCACTGTCTGCCACTCTACCTTCACCAGAAAAACAGGGCTGGAAGCTTTGCATTTGGCTGTTGGGCAGCACCTGAGCCAGTTTACAGCTTCAAGAGCCACAATGACCTGTCCCAGCAAGTCCCAGGCCTGGGGTGCCCATCTATGCCATCCATGGGAGGGCTCGCTGGAGGGACCAACACACCATCTTCCACACCAGCAGCATCCAAAGCAATTCAGAAGCGAGGGCGGCGCTTTCGACCTGTGTATTTTGTGTCTGCTCGCACTTCCCTGTGGAGAAAAGCAGCTAAGCACAATCCACAGGTCATTCTGAGAGGGGAGGGGAAGGGAAGTGAGCTCATGGCAGGAGTTTGAACAAGTAACAGGAGGCCAGACCAGCACAGTCAGCCTCAGCTGAGGCAGGACCTAGCTGAACTTACTTGCCCTGTCGTCGTCTACGCTCCTTCTTCTCAAGGATCCAGTCCCGGCTTTTCTTCACAGACTTGCCTTTAGCATTTCTGAACCGTGTCCTACAGACAAAGCAGACAGCGGCTGGAGAGGAACTGAGGTGTGGGGGTACAGTTTTCTGCCCTGGAGGATTGCCACCCAGAACTGGGCATGCCCTCTGCTTCATAAAACCAGCAAATACCCCTCCCACCACCCCACCCCAGATGAAAGAGGCTCAGCCAGCACTGGGGCAGGTAGCCAAACAGTCTAACTCCAGACGCACTGGGGGAAAAGGCTGCTTCCAGCCCCAGCTCTGAGCCAAGGGATACCTACCCTCCACAGGCTGCAGCAGGCCAGCACTCCTCTGTGCCATATCTGACACACCACCAGCACACTGGGCTGTGGAATCTTGGGGGAATACAGGCTGAAGCACAACCACCTTCCCCTTGTCTGCTCTACTAAGAACAAAGCAGACAAAGCCTCTGGCTTCCCAACAAGTTTCTAGTTCTGCTATTGCCCTCCAAGATCAGGTACCCTCTGGACTAAGTGAGCAGAGACATCAGTGTAAGAGGCAGGAAAACATGGCAGCCACAAGCTCCTGGCAGCCACGACGACTTTCCTCTGATTTTTGTTCTCTGTCTCTCCCACTGGCTGCAAGAGGGGCTCCTCCCTGCATCACTATCATGGGAGGAGACCTGGCCAGCAGGGGAAACCCCCTAGGGCACAGCTAAGCAGAGCTAAGCAAAGAATTTGACAGCAGAATAAAGGGAACACCAGGCTTCAGGCACAGCAGCCTGCCTCCCCAACAAAAAAAAACCATGCTTGGTATCACCAGCACTGTAAACATTCCCCCTCCCATCACCACTGACTTATGCTACAGCGCTGAGCTGGAGAGCCAAGTGCTGGACAGAAAGCGCACCTCAAACTGAATGCTCAGCTGCAGCTCTAGGGTAAGTATCAACAGCCTCACGATGCCACAGCAAAGCCCTCCAAACTAACCCATTCCATTCCTTGTGTCTGGGGCCCTTCGATAAGATAAAGCAGTGCCCATCTGGGCTGCCAAGGGTCCTCCCAGTCCCTTCCATCACTTCTCACATGGCAGCGCTGTGGTCCTCAGTCAGCAAAACCCAGCCCTTATACCCCCCACACTCCTTGCCTGGGGAGAACTTGCAGATTCAGCCCCTACACGGTACCTTTCATTGGTGAACTTTGCCTGGCGTATCTCTTCTCCATCAGCACACTCAGTACCAAGGCCCTGAAAAGCAAAATTATGAAGTCTCACTCTCCTCTGAAGCAGACAGAGCTAATAGTCATGCCATCTAAATTAAGGGGAACCCAGGCCTCTGCAAGAGGAAGGACTAGAGCAGGAACAAACTGGTCTTCCAGAAATTGTGGCAAAGAAACCAGATCTCAGGGAGAGCAGAGGTTGGTGACACTGACAGCAAATGTATAAATGAAGTCACATCTGCATGCGCAGAGCTGCCTGGCTCCCACTCTCACCTACAGCTTGTTCACATCACCCAGCAGCCAGGAGGGCAACTCTGCTGCCTCACATTGCTCCTCACCTTTGGTAATGTGCCAGATGCCCCAACAAAGAGACAAAGGAAGAACCTGAAAGAATAATAAGGAGCATGAAGCTGGGATTCAGCACACGATTCCCAGTCCCCAGGCAAGACTAAGATTGTTTATAACAGAGTCAGATCTAAGCTATAACCTCTGTCCAGGACTGTATCATGGGAGAGAACAGCTTGGAAAAAAAAAACCAAAACACTGCTAAACCCAGGCGTCACCCCAAACACACACATACACGGAGACACAGGACTCACTTCTTGGCTTTGGCGCTGTTGGGGTAATCTACCACCATTCCCCCGGTAAAGCCAGCTCTCATGGCTTGGGCTGTGATGAGCTCCAGCTGGAAAAAGCAGCATGTGCAAAAGTTATTTAGCAGTCATCCACCAGCAATGCCCAAGAGACCTCTGGGCTCGACCACAGCTAACTGCGCATGCCAAAGAAGGGTCATTCCTGCTCCTGCTAAATTCGGTCCTTAGTCTAGCCTGGGTTAATTGGTACAGCAGACTGTCCAGGAGAGGGATACTGGGCTGGATTTTCCAGCCCTGGGGAGTTACACTACAGTGCTGATGACTATCTTCAAACCCAGCCACACAGGAAAATCCAGGACAGCAGATGCAGATCATGTCCTGCCAATTTCTTTCATTTTAAGGCTCAGCCCAAGACAACCTGTGAAGCAACAGAAACTGCATAGGGCATTCTCCTCACAGGGTTTTTTGGGGGCTCTTGAAGAGCTTTACAGATGGTGGGAAGGACAGAGACACACACCAGATGTGGAGAAACACGATGCATTCAGAGCCCCAAACAGCACATGACTTCTCAGCCTGGCTCTGCCTGTTCCTCTTCCCCACTGACTGATGTACTGTACCTGTTCTGAGTTCTCGGGGTACAGCTGCAGGACAGCTCGGGATCCTCGGGCCTACAGGAAATACAGTCAGTCACAAACCTGTCTCAGTGCAGGCAACCCCTCTAGTCAGCCAATTCGTAGCCCAGACACTAGCACCCACCTCCCCAAAGCCTCCTAGAGAACTCTCCCAGAAGAGCTGCTCAGACCACAGAGCTAGCTCCTCCACAGCACAGCAAGGCACAGGAGCAACAGCAGGGATCAGAGAAGTGTGAGACACCATGCAGGCAGGCAAGGAGATAGGAAATGGGTACTCCTGCCAGTCCTCCATTTCAGAGCAGCATTTACTTAGAATACCTGACTTAAAATATCTTGCTAAAACGCACCAGCAAGGATGTAAAAGTAGGCAGAGGCCTGACTGGGAGAGCATGACACTTACCAAGGCAGTATAAAGAGTTGAGAAAAATTGATAAAGGCGTTTTGGAGGGTTGTGTGATTTCTTATCAGCATTACAAAGCCACTGCACTGCAGAAATACTGAAAGAAAACAAGACACCTGGGACACTGAGCCATTGATTCTTTCGCAGAGCCTGTCACCTCCCTTTGAGTTTACTTCCAGCACTAAGCATGTGCCAGGCTTCAGGGAAACAATTTAATTTTCTCCACGCGGCTTTGCCTTCTGTTTTGCAGTTACAAAAACCCCTCTGGAGACTCACTATGCCAAAACCCAACAAGCCACAGTAGTTATTCAAGCACAAAAGAATCACCAGGCATCCTCATTAGGCCAGGTGCTCAAGTAATTCAAGTGCTTAGCTGTGGCCCTTGCGTGGCCATGCAGGTTTTGCAAAATGAGCAATCCCAAAGCGAGCATTCAGATGATCGAAAGATAGTCCCTGCTCCTTCCGAGCAGAAGGGAATACCCAGAGTTCTGAGGTATTCTCTAAGCAGAAAAGTGTTTCTGTCTCCTTCACCTAGCCCTTCATCCCAAAACCAACCATCAAACCTTTGGTCCAGGGACTGATCTTGCAGCTGAGCAATAGTACAGACATACTTTCTGTCTTCCTCATCGGAGCAGGTCTCAACCCTCCTGACCATATCCCCAATTTGATTTTATTTACTTCAATAAGCTTCCTAGCTCACCAGCACACAAAAAAGACAAACATCACTTGGGCAACAGCTGTCAGAAGCTGCTTCTACCATCCAGAATCTCAGCAGCTTGCCCCAGAGAGGTGGACTCATGTTGCATGGAGCAAAAAGAGTGACGCTCATCTATTATGCAGCATACACGGACCATGTGTACTGCACAGACGATGCAGTTATGTGGAGTATCAAGAGAGCTCGCTGATAAACACAAACTCACCTGATGCAGCCGTCAAACATACCAGGCCTGAAAGGAATGCCATGACCCACATCTGCAAGAAGAAGGTCTCCTTCCACCTCCCTCTCCACAGCCACATCTGCGCACAACAGAGAATGGCTCAGACAACCAGCTCACACCTTTGGGGACCACCTCGGAGGTGAGGCAAGGGTGGCAGGGGAGGAGGGCCTGCTTACCCAGCATGGCAGGGCTGATGTCCATGCCAATCCAGTAGTGACCCTCATTGGAGATGTAATCCCCGCTCAGCCCAGAGCCACAGCTGAAGGGAGGAAGAGGGGAAAGCGCAGGGATCACGGGCCTGGTCCGAGGGTGTTGCCGGCCAGCCGCAATGCTACAGCAGGCTCTCCCTCTTCTTCAGCGCACAACAGAGAGACGCTGGTGCCATGGGGCCTGGATGCCCCTTGCCCCGGGCACCCGTCCAGCCGAAGGCCCAGATGCCCCATTTGCCACGACACAGGGCAGGACCCCCACTCACCCCACGTCCAGGAGGAGGCACGGCCGGTCCTCGGGCAGTCCCAGCAGCTCCACAGCCCGCTCTGACATCTGCGACTGGATCTCCACCACCCGGGAGCTGCAAGGCACGGCCAGGGCATAGGCAGCAGGCTGCCACCCCGCGGCGCGATGCCTCCTGCCACTACCTCACGGTAGGATTTCACCCCCGCCGCCGCCGCATGGCGGGGTTACCCCCCCCCGCCCCGCCTCACGAGGGGCCTCCGCCGCCGCTGCCACTCGGCGGGGTCGTGCCCCCCCAGGCCTCACGGCAGGACCCCCCCCCACGCCCGGCGGGCTCCCCCACTG